ATTTACATAGGCTTATTGATGAGCTTATAAACGAAAATCTTAGGAACTACTATAACAAAATACCTTAAAACTCTACTTGATTTACATTTCAGTCAATGGCATGCCCATAGTAACACAAAAATGATATACTTTTCTTTAAGAAAATCATTTACAAAACTCGGAAAGTAAGTTTCACAACTTATTATTCACTAATTATTGATAATTAATCTACCAAACAATTCGCCGTCCTAACTTTGAAAGAGTTTATCTCTTATTTCAGTCATAGCAGCAAGAAGGTTGACACGGCTGGTGTGGTCATGTACTTTCACTGATTGTTCAAGTAGCATCTCCTTATCTCCATAGGAACAGGGTCACTTTTCACGTATTCTTCTCCCACCGTTCTAACAGAATAATATCCACAGTGTTCTATTCATCATATAAATGTTTCATCGAATTTGTTCACATTCTGCTTCCCGGTTAAATCAAGACTACAGAGGCTCATCAGTGACACATGTTTCTTGTCAATGTGTTCAGAGCACTTAAGAAATATACCCGAATCTCACAGTTTGATGGATTATGTCATTACGAAACAAGATAATAGCGAGTCCAACTATATTTAAGTGGTTGTCACGTTATTGGAGTATACCAAAGCCACATTCACTATTCTCATTCAAACTAGTGTTCTTTCACCATCTTATCATACATTATCTTTGGGCAATTTTTCCCACCTGTTGATGTGCAAACTCAAGTACAGAAACCTAACATGGATCGCAAACTATTCGACGTAATTTACAAACATTCTGGCACAAACTTTCGCCACACCCAGTACCTTATACAACTCAGAAAACTACTGACTGTTAAAGTCTGCTTCTGGATCAGTAAGAATCGTCTGTTGTGCTCTGAAGTGAGCTATTTAATATTCAGCTAACATATTAGCAACTGTTTGAGCTTATGTGTCAGCCAGTGGTTATGTTTAGTCCATTTAGTGAGATATTTATCACCAGGATGTTTTGATTACCAGTCTCACAATATCCAATGCTTTTTTTTTTAATGTATAACCGACAATTCATTGACGGAATTGTGCCTGGGACGGAAGCTGCACACGAAGTACAATGTTCACACTATAGCTCTACATTCTTGCATGGATACTGCCAGTAAATTAATCTCTGCAAGTTGGTTGTAGTGCAAAATATTCTTCAGTGTCCCCTGATTCTTGAGTTATGCAGAGTTCAGAGAATTTCGACTCTTAAAGCTGCATCACAAGTCAAGCACTGCATTTGTAAGGATTGTAGCTATGCTGTGAACTCCATCTGTCACCTCTTATCGACCAATCAATTGTCATAAGTTACGTGTCTTCATACTATATTCACAGATCTGTGAGGGTTGTGCTTCTCCTTGCTGCATAGCAAGTAGTGTCCAAGTTAAGTTCAGGTCATCTGGTTATTCTTCTCACAGCTTTTGTTTGGGAAATTTGGTATATATTCACCAGTGGGGTCCATGCCATTTCTTTTGTTTCATTGTAATGGTCGAGACCTGGGGGTTTAGCGACGGTGTTATTTTTAGTATTCAGTTGCTACAGATGGGCAACATCCCAACTGCCGACAAAAAGAAAAAGTCATTTGCATTTCCATGCTGTCAGTAAAATTGTATTCCTGCAATGCTCTCTAAGGCCCATTAACCATTTTAATGATCTACCAGACTACCCGGATGATAAATACACAGCCATAAAAATAGTGTGCAATAAACACCACTAATACAAGCAGCTCCTTCTTTGTTATATAATAATGGCATTTTGTGGGCATGAGCATACAGCTTGTGTATGCTACAATACACTCTGCACCACCTTGTACTTATGAAAATACTGCTCCAATTTTACTGTCGCTGGCATCCATATGCAAGATGGAATGTCTCTCTCAGTTTAAGCTAACACTGGAGCATTAATCAAGGCACATTTTAGTAACTGAAATGACAGTGTAGTCTTCAGTCCAACTAAATGAGATTCAACTTTACCAAAAGCCAATAGTGGTGCTGCTATAGTTGAAAAGTTGGTCACAAGTATCTATAATAGGAAGCAAAGACAAGAAACTTTTGGTCTTCTTTCTTATTTATAGGCTTGGGACCAGTCTACAATTATTTGGATTTTAGTAGAATTGGCACACTCCATCCCTACTTATTATGTCTCGGAAACTTTACATCTACATGAGAGAACATTTCTATGGCTTCAGTTTCAGTTATGCTGAAATACCATGCCTAGGTTTCCAACTGCAGTGTAGAATGTGTGCCCAAATCAGAATATTGTCAATATAAATAAGAAACTATTCGCTAAACAATGCAACTATCCAACAATACAGTAGTTAAGTTCCTTGACTGGTCAAACCATGAAAGGTAACACCTTAGGTAAAATCTATCAAGTAACCTCTATCAGATTTAGTGTGTTTCAAATCAGAATAAGAAATTTAAGAATGCTGTGAGAAATGCATATTATGGGAAAATCAGGTATTTATATGATATGGACTAATAATATTTTGATGGATTTCCTTAACCCTAGAATTACTGATGGGATCCATATGGACTTCCATGGCTTTTTAATCATATTTTTTAAGCTAGTTATTTTGCTAACTTTGTTAGTTACAAGGCCTCTAATAATCAACAGCCATAGTATTTTAAACATGAAAAACAAAAAAACTACTGATTTCACCCCATTATTTTGCTCAGTACTTTGAATTGGGTGCTGTAACAAGCAGAACACAAAATTACATAATATGATGCAAGACACGGACCACACCAGTAGTGAACAATGTGATCTGAGGGTTAATAGAACTAGATTATGGCTGGTATACAGTGATAGTTAACTAAACCAGTATTTACTAAGTAAACTGATATTAATCTCTTAAAATATTTTCTTTATTGGGTATATATGTGCATAACGAACCAATAATGAATGCTTAGTTTTTTTAAAAAGAAAGATTTTTATTGATATTGTAAATAATTAAGAAAAACCTTCTAAGTTTTACACTGATGAATAGTATCTGCACATTTGCACTTTTAATGTTTATTATGCTAAGAACAAAAAAATAGTGAAATTTCTTATTTTTTGTTACAAATGAGTTTTTGTCTCACCCATCTAACGGACGAGTACTCCAGCTAGTACCTTATAAGGTTGTAACCTAAGGTTATGGGGTGTAACTAATACAGGAGTATCATTATGATCAGTCACACCCTAAAGGTATTGTTAAAACTAATCACCAATAGAATTAAACTTAAGGTTAAAAATGAGCTTTCAAAACACAATAATGGTATTGACGTGTAAGAGAGCATATTTGACTTTAGGATATTAAATGAAAGCACTATAAAACTGCAAAGAAATCTTTATGTGTGCTTCACAGACTCTGCAAAAGCATTTAACAGGATTAACCATAATGTAGATAATGCAGTAGATTGGGGTAGATCAAGGATATATAAAAGAAACTTGATTTTATTCTAGAGTCAGGATGCAGCATTTTTAATTGTTAAAGAATTAAATAGTTTATTTGCAGCTAAAGAAATAAAGATGTATGCATTGCCATCAATAATATATATATTCTTTTTCTGTGTAGAATGGTTGACAATAGGATTAATTACTGATACAGAAGGAATCAAGGTTAACAAAAACAGAATCTGTAATAATAGCAGTTACAGGTGAATCTGAAGAAAATATACAACAGGTATCTGACAACGGGAAAGACTACGAACTCAGAATAAATGTCAATAAAACTAAGACAATGGTAATTGCAAGATATGAAGAAGTTCCCAGAATATGTATCAAAGCAGAAGGTAAAGAGTTGAAATGAGTACAGGAGTTTACTTATTTAGGATCAAATATAAGTACTGATCGCAAGCGTGGAAAAAGAAAATTAGAAGAGAGAATATATGAATGGTAATAAACAGCATTCTTCACTCTCAAAGAACTGCTCAGGAGATATGTCCAGCTAGAACTAAAGAAAAAGACTATCAAAATGATGCAAATGGTCAGTCTATTGAGTGAAAACAGTGATGCTGGTTGCTTAAACAAAATGACAGAAGCATTAGAAATGTGGTTATAGACAAAATATGAAGGTTTTGTCTGTTTGTTGTTAAGGACAAAGTGGCACAATGGCTACCTGTGCTGTGCCTACAATGGGTATCGAAACCCAGTTTTCAGTGTTATAAGCTTTCCGACTTCCCGCAGTGTCACTGGGGGTGGGGGATGCATTACTCTGGGCATACAACTAGATCTGAGTAAGGATGGGTAAAGAGATTCTAATGGGTAAAATTGGAAGAAAAAAGGGCAAAAGACAGATTGTAAGGTGCATTTACAGACATTCTTATTCAATGATTAATATACAGTTCAAGCTTAAACTTTCTATTTTGAATTACTCAAGAAAAAGTTTCCTCTCAGGCTTAGGTAATGTTCCATGGTAGCCACATAGTGTATGGGTATACAACATTTCCTGATATGCCTCTTACTTTGTTTTAAAGATCTTTATTTATTAATAACATATTATAATACAAAAGAAATGCCCTTATTATATTTAGAAAAATACAGAAATAATAAGTTCAAAATTTACAAATAATTTCAGGAACATAAAATATGAAAATTACAAACATAACACTATACGCAAACTTTTGTCAAATGGAAGTTTTAAAATTTATATTACATAGTCAATACTGTTTTTTTTTCCTTTCTTGACAGTTGTGATATAAAATTTATTTTGTAAATGAGTATACAATAAAAATGTATAAGAAAACTTATAAATAAGGCCCAATTTTCACTTTCTAAAATAATTCAACACACAAATAAAGCATGATATTGCATAGTTTGTAAACAAAATACAAAAATGTTGGAAACAGAGTTAAGTATGCATACATATTCTAGCATATTGAGCTTAAGTAAGTCTAATATTGAGTTATGGTTATAATACATGAAGGATTGCTTAATTATGCTACAATCATATTTCAGAAGTAGACATTAAAAATTGATAATGTTTTCACCCCATTCTCTGTATTTATCTTTTATAATAAGAGTTTGGAAGCTACATTATACATCAGAGTAGCTTTATCATCATCATCTTCCTCCCTAAAGACACTACAATATGTTATCTTCAGGTTTATATGAAAGAACTATGCTAATAAAAGTTAAAGCACTGAAAATTTAAATTTGAAAGTGAAGTTTGTGTGAAAGAATGATGCTAAGTTTCAGCACTGAAAACAGAATTTGGAAATATAGTCAGCAACAGTTTTCAATACTGAGTAGTAGTAGTAGTAGTGAAATGTTTTCACACAGCTTCAATATTTATAAATGAGTTGAAGCAAAAACCATTAAAAATAATAAAATGTGGTTGGACCAAAAATAAATGTTAGAATTTAAAAAAAAAAACTCACCTACAAAAATATCTGAATTCAGCTAAAATTGTATACCAAACATACAGCTAGATGGAGGTGCGTCCTGTTTCATGACTAACCCAGAAGATGGTTTGTTAATAATTTTAAATGAATGCTTCATGAAGGGATGGGTGGAGTTTAATTGGATTAAACAGTGATAACCTAATTTTCATCTTCATGATTTCTTGTTTTCCAAATATAAATCAGTTTCATTTGGCATGAATGTCAGCTTTACTAAGTTTTAAAGCAAGTTCTAAATCAGCTTGCTCCTGGGCTTCAGCATTCTTTCTTTCTTGTTCCAATCTTATACTTTCTTCTGTTACCCATGCCAGTTGTTCCTGCTCACTCATATTTTTGTAATTATGCTTAACAGGCTTGTCAAGAGTCTCATGCAGAAAAGGAACAAACTAGAAAGATAAGAAAATTTGTGAATATTACTATAATGAAACTATAAAAAAAGTTTAAACAATTCTTTTAAGTTACAGTACTGTGAAGCAATAATAGTTAGTATATACTGACTTATCTCAACAAGTTTTAAGTGATACAAAAGAACACTTACCAGCAAACCTGCATGGAAAATAAAAATATGTTCTATTCTTATTAAAACATGCAACCACTGAGGTTATCACAATAACTTAATTTTAGAAAATTTATAAATAATTTTGATCCTAATAATTATAAAATATTATATATATATACATATAAACACACACACACAGCCATTTTAGAATATAATATGAATTGTACAAAACAGTGTAGGTGCTGCATTTACTAAGTGATGTCTATAAAATAAGAAACTGACAAACATGATATACATAACTGTAACGTACACTTTGTAAAAAAAACATTCCCATCTTAAATCCTATAATATGGAGGTTTTTCATGGTATTTCTGATCTAAAGTTATGAAAATATTTTGACATTAAATCTACAACAAACTGTACGAGTGTTTTGAAATAAAAGAACCCAAAATAACAAGGACCCTTTTGATACTATTGTAAATAATTAAAAAACAAAAACAAAATACCAAGAAAAAACAAAACACATCTATGTACATTTTTTGACAGTCCCCACAAACTTAACTGAAAACCCATGCAACATAAAATAACCAGCCATAAGACTCATGTACAATACAATGACCAATGATAATACACCGCCCAGAGACCATAACTTGACCAACCACGTGATATCATGTACATTAACCTGAAAACTCATGCATTATTTGAACCATCACCTTTCAGACATCAGTCTGAAGAGTTTGTGCAAAAATTAGAAGAAGCAGTGTATAGAAAGTTAAAACTTCATACATTATATAAAATATATACATAGCAGTTATTATATGCTGTAACTTAAAGCATTTGTGCAATATGCATGAGGACAGTATGCAAATTAAAAAATGGGCAATTTCCACTGTAAATGTCAGTTATAAAGAAGGTTGAGTATATTACATTAAAATGATTTTGAATATGCAAATCAACAAGACAGGTGATAACAACAGCTGATATAAAGTCGTAATGGAATGGATCAGAACTACATTTTGGTATTTTTTTAGTAGTATGATTTCACTGAAAACTTATTGCTTTTGGGAAGGAAATGTAACAACCTCTTCTGATATAAAACATTCATACATACTCAGGTCATAAAGATGTATTTGGACCAGGGATTAGGAATTTTCAAGATGGGGATATATTTTTTTACTAAATGGCATAGAAAAACAAAAGATTATGGATCAACTTGGTGACCCAGGACTATTGAGAGAAAGACCTGCAACAAGTCCTACTTCAGCCATGGTAATCAAAGATCAGTGGCAAAAGCCAGCCACGTGTCCAATGGAACAGCACATAACAATCTAAAAGGATCTCCCACCATGAAAATGACAGGTCATGTGTACACAAGTTGTTTTCACAAAATGTCCAGAAGAGAAAATCAAGTGTAAGAAACTGTACAAAGAGTATGTACACTTTAATAATTGTAACAAGTCTCATGTCAATTTCTAACAGTCATTTTGTGAAACAATTTCCAAAAATGGTATATGGCATGTCACAAAAAGTTTTCAAAGAAATTTATGATCATTGCTTGATTCTGTTTCAGGAATAAGTTAGGGAACAGGAGAGTGGATACAAAGGTCAGGGTCAACTTTTTTCACTATCAGACTGATGTTCTTGGCCCAGTGTACCATGCAGAAATACTTGTTTTGTACATAAATTAGGCCAACAAGGTATAGATTTACCAAGATAAAGCTTCTACTCATACCTCCTGTTCAACTGTTGCATACCTCAATGAAGACATATGTCAATTATGGATTTTTGTGGAATTGGATTTTAGAAATAAGTGTTAAGAAAGCAGCAGCAGCCTCACACATTAGATGAATAAAGGAAGGGAGGAGTGGTGTGCTTTGGACATGATATTTATGAAGTTGCATTTTACAATTGAAATTATGCAGTAGAGCTTTTGTCAAGATGCACAGTCATCAGAAAGAGCATGATTGAATTTAACAACACTGACTGTAACAATGTGGTGAGGTTTTAAAATAATTTCAATATAATTGACTCAATCCTCTGTAGTAATACAGGACTCCTGAAACTGACTTATTAACAAAAATTAATCAATGATGAAGTGCCAAAATGTTTTTCATTTAAAGGCAATTTATAAGTGGCTACATTGCTTTAATCTATCTGTACTTGTGTAAGAACTATGCTAATATTACATACTTGGACTGTTACTCTAGATACAATATTTTTAAGCTATAAATTGGTAAAAATAATGTGTATAAGAGTTGTGAAAAAGCCTTTTAATTTTCTTTACCAAAAAAACATTTTAAAATAGACTAAATAAAAAATACAATAACTTCTCCATCACAGTTAACACCTACATGCTGTTTCTATTAGTCTAAAGAAGTGTCTTGAGAAAATGATCATTTAATACCCACAGAACAGATTCAAGTCCAAGAGAGATAATGCATGATGGTGAAATGATATGAAAAAATTACATTTTTGTTTATTAAAATGTGGTTTCTTTAGAATAAAAACATGAAAAATCAAATTATTATAAATGAAGATTTAACAGTTACTCACCTTAAGTCATCTGAGTACTTTCAAATTGCAGACTAATTTGAAAAAACAAGAACAACAAATAAAACTGGTTATTTACTAGGGAAAACAGAGTGAAGATGGAGATAGAAATTGTGTGTGAAAGATAGCTAAAAAAATAGCAAAGACAGCAACTCCAAGTGTTAAATTGTTATGGGTTAAATATAATAAAATACTAAATGCCTAATCATTAAAAAGAGATGTTAAAAAAACAACAACAACAAGTTATTAATAAAAGCAGTTTTTATTTCAAAGACATTTGGGAATAAAAGCCATGCATAAAAAATGTAAGCAAATGGTTAAGCTGTAGTAAATTTTTCAGGAAAACCAGTTTCCTTCAATTTTCTAACATAGTTTATGAAGAAAAATCTGAATTGTATATAAGGATAGTAATAACAATATTCTTTCAATTTATGTTTTCAATAATTAATTCCCACTTGTCTAATAATCTGCATTTGTGCAATCTGAGGAAATACTTTTAATATCTATTGAATTCATAGTCAAGAAAAAGTCATAGTCTTGTTTTCCTTCTCCAAGAGAATAAATGACATGTTTTAGAAACATTCTCCAAAGAAACATTATTACTGACATCAAATACCAGGTCTGGAAATTTTTCTGTAAATGTATGCTCAACAACATTAGTACTTCTGGTTGTACAAAATAATTCTGAGAAATGGTTTTGAAACTTGTTTTATTTGCAACTTGATTGGTCTGTAAATATACTTTGGACCTTCTACATGGTTCGTGCAGCTGTCAACTGACCAAATTTGGGACCTTTTAAGACCAGCCCTTAGAAAATTTCAAAACCTATTTTCACAGCAAATTGACCAAATAATAATGAAAATATTAATGATAAAGAATCAATCAAATACCTTCTGTTAGTTATTTAAGTTTTAATACATTTAGAACGAATACCAATGTGTTTAATAAAGACATGCATTTCTCATTTACTAACAAGACACATTTTATTAATCTTGTATATGTATGTCTAATGAGACATGAACATTTCATTTTGGCCTGTGACTGATTTAATACTTTTTAAGGCCTCTAACACGATATTTAAGATGTTTAAAGGCCCTGTGGCAACCCTGTTTTAAAATAGTTTCTGGATGACACTGTTTCAGATAGAAATAAAATAATTATGATATTTTACAATAAAGTATTTCATGTTACAAACACTTGCACATTTTGTAGAATCACATAAATAACCATAATACTGAATTAAAATTTTTATTGAATCAATATTTAATTTGTAAAATATTTTAATGAAATTTTTTCTAACATGACAGATAGGTATGATGATGACCAATATGACTAGAGTTAAAAATGAATGTCCTTAAACTGATGTATGGATGCTACTCTCATCTTTTGATTGTAAAGTTTACATCTTTCACCAAACTTCTGTTATGCCCAGATATAATACTGTGTTTTAACTGAAAATAATTTGTCAAAATTGTTTTATACATTTTCAATCCATTAATAAAATTAAATACTGTAATGTTCATATGCTCATAGCAGTCTTATCATCCTAATCACTTCAGACTTAGGTTAACACTTTTTGTTCTGAAAAGTTATGATTCAAACATACCATTCTATATTTACTATTAATCAGAATTAACTTTTTTGCTACTACTAATTAAAAGAATTTAAAAGTATGAACTCATAACTTTACTATTACTTACACTCTGTTACAGATAGTAGTATAATTAAAATGGCACGAATTGTCATATCAAACTATGTTAATCAAACAAGCTGGTTTTAGAGACAGGTGACATGTTGGGTACTAGACAGATACATCCATTAACAAGTGTCAGTTTCTTTACATTTAAAATGATACAGAAAAATAAGCATGATCAATACATTAATTTAGTCAGTATTTCTAGTTAACATTGTAAAAAAAAGAGTGTTTAATTTAGTTTGAAATACATTGCTTTTTTTATTCAGCTTATTTGGTTACTGTAGTTTGAAACAACACTTAACCATTAATGCATTTTGAATTTTACTTCTATCTATAACAAAGTGCAACTAATGATAGAATTATGATTTCACTTTTAGCATTTCATGCTTTTAATATCTTTTAATCAGCAGTAGTATAAAATTTAATTATGATTAATAATAAATACAGAGTAACTTGTTTGAACCATAACTTTTTGACAGAGAAAATAATTTTTTTTATATGGAATATAAAGTAAAAATTAAAACCTCTGGTTTAAATAACCATAATAATGAAGAATTTTATGAATATTTTAACAGCTGCTTAGACAACAAAATCAGGATAAAGCACTTGCTGTATGATGTAAAAATTCAGAAAATACTCAA